ATGTTCGATTTAGCCTAAAACAGGTAGGCCCTGCCTCTCAGGGAAGCTTGTCCCTTTAATGAGTCACCTGAAAATCAGTCTACCTACCGACTCCCCCCAGTAACTCCCATCATGGGTGACCTTTCTCCTCACCTTGTTTCCTCTTTAACCAATCACTGGTGTCTTCTTGCTTATTTCAGATGATGGGAAAGACCCTCTGAACCCTCACAGGTAAGATGGAACTGTTTTATGATTGAGTTCATTTTTCTAGTCTGACTTTTTAATTCGCCATAACATGTCAGAGTGATTATACATAACACCCCTTTCTTGCAACAAAACGAAATGCACAGATAATATATCCTAACTACACATGTTTTAAAAGTCAGTAAGTGCCCTAATTATAGAATAAATAAAAATAGGAGGGAAGGTGATTTACTGTAGAAATAAAAGGCTAAAGCTGGGGCACTGCACTGGCGGATCCCATGAGGTCATCAGAGGCACCTTCAGGTAGAATCACTAGGAAGGCAACAGCCACAGAGGACAACTGACGGGAAGATTGTAACAGTGACTCAAAAAGCCCAGAGGCATTGCCAACCTGATGGATAAGTGATGCACGATTGGCAGAACATCTGGAAAACCTGTTAAAATCTTCCTTCATCTCACAAGGCAGTTGCATTTCAGAAGATATAAAAAAGCAACACACGCAAAACACCTTATTTATGTGTGAAGCAGTGAAGTTCCGGGCTCGGAGACTTTTCCACCTGCATGAATATTGCGTAGAGAAGATACTCTAAAGTCATACGAGCGTAGGACAGTTGTTTTGTGTCCAGCATCCCTGTCCCTGCGCCAATGTCAATAGAACTCTTGATCATTATGAAAATTAAAAAGGGGGCAGTACCACCACACCTCGAACACTCCTGCGGGGATCTGATGGTCAAGTGTGAAGATAGGGATTTTGTAAGGACTTCCTCTCACCAAGAACAATCTGCAGCCCTGTAGGGGGCGTAGCAGGCATTCAGCACCCAAGGCATCAACAATGGCTGCACCTGGGTATGAAAGGAGCTGTTAAGGGGCATCTAGATAGCCCTGTTGGCGTTTCTTCTTTCCCTTTTAAAGCAGAATCCCAGGGGTGGACAGTAACCCTCAGTCTGGAGAAACTATGTCCTGGACTGTGGTCATGGGCTAAGCACCATGTGGCAGGTCATCTTTGTGTTTCTGTTCTTTAGCCACCTGGGGACATACGGAGTTTTCACAAATGCTGCATTTGACCCGAGCCCTTAAGGTAAGTTTCCAATGAAGACTTATTTAATTTATTTTAAAAATATATTTTTCATTGATTTCAGAGAAAGAAAGGGGGAGGGAGAAACAATGATGAGAGAGAATCATTGATTGGCTGCCTCCTGCACGCCCCCTATTGGGGATCAAACCCCAACCTGGGCATGTGCCCTGACTAGGAATCGAACAGTGACCTCCTGGTTCGTAGGTTGATGCTCAACCACTGGGCCACACTGGCCAGGCATAAAGGAAATAGAACAGTAAGGTGAAGGGGAAGATTTTAAAGTTTGGCTTTATACAATCATGAGTTAAATTTTAAGTATGTAGTAAATTTTCAAGCTATGAAGGAAACTGTGTTGGGACAGGCATGACAGTAGAATGACAATAGAAAGAGCGTTCATATGAAGATTTTCACACACACACACACACACACACACACACACAAGGTGACACGGTCTAGTGACACTTATTTCAGGATGGATGGCCTTCCCTTCAATGACTCGTAAGTGACATTAACACTGTGGCTTGAGAACCAGAAGTCTTGGCCACTGGAAAAATTTTACAAACTCTTATGGAGACAATGCGCTCATGGCCTGCTGGGAAAACGAAGATAGCCTGACACGCCTCTCCCAAGCAGCCCAGTGAGCAGTTGAGTCTAAGAAAAGTAGCCTCAATGGCAGAAAATCTGGCCTCCAGAAAAATTCTATTGGGCCTTGGGGAACAGATGTGAAGAGAGCTTTCTTTCTTTTACTTTTTAAAAGGAAATGTAATTAGTATCTTTTGGGTCATTTTCAGAGACCTGTCCTCTCCTGGTCACCTCACTCCACCTCAGAGGACGCTATTGTTGAACATCGGGCTTCCTGCGAGACTTGACGGACTGGAGCGCGCCTGCTGGTTTTCTGTAAATGCTTGTGAGGAAAGGACAAGGCGTTTCCTTTAGATCAGCTCTGGGCCAGAGCAGAAGAAACAGACTCTCCATGCACCGCCTTCCTGCCCCCTCTCCAGGCCGCGTGCTGCTGCCGGCTGTCACTGGAATATTAATTAGCCAAAGCTCGGAGCCTCTGAGCCACCAGAAGACCAGACTTCGGAGAAAGAAGAATGGCTCCTTAGTTCTGGACTGGAGGGAGGCCTCCTGGACTTTCTGGAAGGAGCCGGCTCCTCTGCCTGAAGGGGTTTCTGTAAGGCCTCTGGGTCCCCAGGGCGGTGTTTATGACCCACCCAGACCTCTGCTGCAGAGGCATCCAGAGCGGCCTCCAGGGGCACCAGAGGCTGCAGATGACCAAACGAGAACCCATCGAGAACCAGGACAGGACGGACATGTCACTGTGATGGTCCCTCCAAGGTCACTTTCCCCCAAAGATCCATATTCAAAGGTGTCATTAAAAGGTTTCCCCCAAAATGCCATGTTATAGTGTCTGATGTTTTGTTCAATAGGGTCTGTGTCCATCGCTTTGTTTACATTAATATAATCAACAACTTCACCGCTGGACCCTTCCATCAGCTGGCAATTATGTCGCACCACCTTCCCACAGGGAGGAGACCAGAGAAGCACAAAGAGTCTTCATCCCCTGAGTGTCCTTGGGTAGAATGGGTGTGTTTTACACATTCTTTAAGGGTTTGATCGTCCTAGCCAGTTTGGTTCAGTGGATAGTGTCTGCCTGCAGACTGAAGGGTCCTGGGTTTGATTCCTGTCAAGGGCACATGCCTGGGTTGTGGGCTTGACCCCCAGTAGGGGACGTGCAGGAAGCAGCTGATCAATGATTCTCTCATCACTGATGTTTCTATCTCTCTCCCCCTCTCTCTCCCTTTCTCCGAAATCAGTATATATAGAAATCACAGGTTTGATAACCAGGCTGGTGAAAGTTACACAGTGTTATCTGGAACTAATCAAACATAGCTGTCTCACCTCTGTGACTGTGAGGCAATGAGCATGCCATGCAGACTGAATGACACAGACAAACATGCCAATAAAAATGGTGAAACAGTCTAACCCAAGGTCACAAGACTTTTGCAAGAATTTTGATAGGAACCTTAGGGTTGAGGGACACAGATCTTTTAAAGGTTCCTGGATATGCTGTCATTAGTGTCTCTGACTGCCAATCACTAAGCAAGGTCTCACGGGACCATGCCGATCAGCCCTGTCTCCGGAGTCAGAGCCTACCCTTTGTGAAAGCTCCCCGGGCAATCTGGATGGGTTCCTGGCTGATATTATAGATACCGGGGTGTCCTGCCCATGAAGAGCTTCTGGCCTAGCTGGGGAGACAGCAGACACCCACCCGAAGTACTAGAAGGCAACCAACATGACATGTATGTGAAGAGTGTTAGAGGAGTTCACAGAATGGAAAGGCCCATTCGAGCCCAGAATCAAGGCGACTGCAGAACTCTGATCGGACTTTAGAGAGTGGAGGGAGCGGGCATTCTACGTTATAGAATAATAGCAGCCAAGGGGCAAAGGCAGAGGGCCGTGTGTAGGGGGTGAAGCGTTGAGGAGCTTGGCTTCATCGCGACCTCACGCAAGGTGCCCATGACAGTTCATTGAATCTGCTGAGACGAATCCTAAGACAGGGGCTTAGGAGGCACGTAGGTTCAGGGAACGTGGGACAAGCCATCATGATGCTCCAGACAATATAATTCTCTGGTTCTCTATCAATAGCAAAACAAGACCTTAAGGCAGAGTGGAAACAGACAGGCGGCAGAAACATAAGGGACTCTGGAGGCAGGAAAAACACAACCCTGATAATGAACACGCGCCCAGTGCTTTCCCACTGCCAGGAGTTACACACGTTACAGTGTCCTTTTATCCCCCCAACGACACTATCAGGGAACTGTTATCATCTCGCCTATTGGGCAGATGGCAAATCTGAGCTGCAAAGAGGGTGAGTAACTCAACCAAGACAACACAGCTTGTGAGTGGGACTGAAACCTGGCCCACTGTTTCTCCCAGCCACACTCATGAAGCCCTCCTCTCTGTTGCTGCCTTCAGTGGCCACAGCCCGGGTTAAAACAGAACTGTGCACGGGCAGAAGTCCAGTCAGTGGTCCAGGCCGATGGGCCCCGATCTTGTGCTCATCCCCTTGCTTCCTCACCCGCTGAAGACACATCCCTGTGCCCAGGCACAGTGCACACGCCCTTTCCTGGGGGCAGGACAGTGCTGTGCTTAAAGGTGTTGGTCCCATTGCACTGGGAACTGCAGAGGGTCTGGCGAGAGTGATTTTCGCCCCGGGCAGTTTTGTGATGGGTCAGTGGTTCTCAACCTGTGGGTTTCGACCCCTTTGGGAGTCGAACGACCCTTTCACAGGGGTCGCCTAACGCATATATAATTACATATTGCTTTTGTGATTAATCAATATGCTTTCATTATGTTCAATTTGTAACAATGAAAATACATCCTGCAAATCAGATATTTACATTACGATTCATAACAGTAGCAAACTTACAGTTATGAAGAAGCAACGAAAATAATTTTATGGTTGGGGATCACCACACCACGAGGAACTGTATTAAAGGGTCGCGGCATTAGGAAGGTTGAGAACCACTGTGGTGGGTGCTGAGGGCTCCGGCTCCCTGGCTTAGCCGCTGGAAGTGCAGGAATCAGTTTTGCCTGTGTCGTGTGCACCCCTGGCACTGCCCCACCTGCTGGAGCCTCTGAGCTCTGCGCTCTCTTCACCTGTAGTGAAACAGTCACGAACCTGGGCGCCCTCTTCTTGTCTCCCGGGGCAGTGACCTCGCCAACCCCTCTTCCTGGAAGGGCCCAGGAGGCGGGACAGCCTGAGGCTGCGGCTGAGGCGCCTGCAGAAGCTGCAGGGAGGACACTGCCACCCACAGCCTCCCGAGCTCACTGGAGCAGGGACAGCGGACGCCCAGCGGTGCAGCCTGAGCTTGGCTGGGGGCGCCGAGGGCAGGAGCAGGAAAGAACCATGTCCCCAGGCTGCCCGCGCCTCTGGGTCCTGCTGGTCCTGGGCTCCAGCTGGGCAGGCTGGGGGTCCACGGGGGCCGAGGCCGCGCGGCTGAGGCAGTTCTATGTGGCTGCGCAGGGCATCAGCTGGAACTACCGCCCGGAGCCCACAGACCCCAGGTAAGGCAGGCGTGGCGTCCGCGGGCTTCTGTGGGATCCCTGACTCCTCTTAGATAGCGCTCCCTCCGCTGATCCTGCTCGGAGTTTGAGGATATTGAGAAGATGCAGTTGATTGGCTAGAAGCTTCTTTCAAGTTGGCTGATAACACAGTTTAGTTAGTATGCTGGATTGTTGGTTTAATGTATTGATTGGTTCAAAAGCACCAGGCACCCACCCCCTCGCTAGCCCTCTGCAAACTCCTGTTCTAGAATTTTAGTGGTCTAGCATTGTTAAATGTCTAGTTGCATTTATTCCGTTCTCTACATCGCTTCAGCTTCTAAAACTAAACCTTGTGCTTTATTATACGCAGATTATTCAATAAGGACTGCCATCATTTTGTTGTTTTCTTCTAAATGACTTTCAAAAGTATCATTAGTCCCTAAAAATGCAACATTTTTATTCTTTTTTCCTCACTTAATCTTGGCAATTTGAGTGGGGTCCCTATGAAAAGGCAGAGAGGCAGTTAAGAGGAGGTTTAAATAATAAAACTCTATCTTTGAGTCAGAAACCACTTTTCCCAATTGAAAGGCTAAAAATAAAACTTCCCAGAAATGAGACAAATTACAGGATTTGCTCAATATTTCCAGTTGGTTATATTTTTACTTGTTTTAATGGTAAATCTCTTAGTGTGGCTCATTTTTTAAAAAAACTTAACATCAAAAAAAATAAAAAAATAAAAAAAAACTTAACATCAGACTTTGAATGATTGCAAAAGACATGTTCCCTTTTTACAATTACAAAACAATCTACCAAGAGATATTGTAATATTTTCAGTCTTTTCGTGTGTAACCTTAACCCTTTTAAAATTTCCTTAGTAAGGTTTCTTTTGGAGGTTATTACATACTCTCTTGGTCTTGTAATAAGAAATCCCTCTTTTTTTAAAAAAATACAAATCATCTTAAATATTTCATTTCAAGGTGATAATCAAAGTCCCACGCACACTGTACGGAGCTGTCATTAACTAAAACCCCCAGGAAGATAAATCTTTCCAACACTGATCTTTCCTGCTCTTGGGAATACTGACTTGGTGGCTGGCTTTCCTGTGGCCACTGTGCTATGCTTGGAAACGTGGTCTTTCTTCCATAGTTAATGCTGAAAGCTGGGGGCAGGACCACAGAGGTCAAAAGTCGGATTCACGTGTTGAGTCCACAGGGAGCCACGGTTGGTCGTGCCATCCTCTTGCTCTGAGGCTGAGTTCCCAGGATTCTGGGAAGAGTCTTTCTTCTGGTATCAACTATTGAAATCAAAACCATAGAAGGATAACCCAGACCAATGCTATATATATATATTTTTATTATTATTTTTTTTTTGCTTAAAGTATTACAATGCTCCATATTGAACCTCAAATCATGTCATTTCCCTCTAGTACTTTCTGGTGGAAATCTGTATGATTGGCTGCTTAAATTAAGAACTTGCTCTAAATTGTCCTACACTGAGAACTAACTGATACTATAAGGAAATCAACATTTGGCAATCAATCCCACTCCTTGCCAAAGTCCATTTTAGCACAAAGCAAAGATCTTTCCCTTTAGTTCATCTAAAATTAGCAGAGCAGTGCCTTTAGAGGTTAAATATATCTATTATTCTTGCTGCAGGCCTGAAGTGACTGTTTCTAGAAATTTCCTTAAGAAAACTTGTTCAGTCATTACATGCACGTAGTAACAGGTATTTTTAAAATGCATATATAGCCCTAGCTGGTTTAGCTCAGTGGATAGAGCATCGGCCTGAGGACAGAAGGGTCTCAGGTTCAATTCTGGTCAAGGGCGCATGCCCGGGTTGCAGGCTTGACCCCCAGTGTGGGGTGTGCAGGAGGCAGCCAATCAATGATTCTCTCTCATCATTGATGTTTCTCTCTCTCCCTCTCCCTTCCTCTCTGAAATCAATAAAAATAAAAATGCATATATATCCATCATGCATATTATTTGAATTCATATCATCTCTAACTTTCTGTTCTGACAGATTATTTTCCAGGAGCCATTCAACTTTTTCAAAATCGAAACAAATATGCCTCAGTATGCTCACACAATATATACAGTCAAATATGCTAGAAAACGCACGTCTATTCAACTTACTCCACATAAAACACTGATTTTTCCTAGTAGAGCTTTTACGCCATCATCTATATTCCTCTATTTAGAGATCTGGGGTGGGGGAGGAGGAAAAAATTTTCAATTTTACTAACAACCGAATAAATAAAAATGGAATTCCACGTTAGGGATAAAATCAACATCCTTGGGCTCTAAGAACTCTGGAGGTTGTTTAGTTCATTTTCAACTTCCCTGTCTTTACTTTCTGCTCCCCCCACACCCTGAGCACCCATATTCCTAGTGTCCAGTTCCTATTCCACTGTGAACCCACTGCTTCCTATAGCTGGTCATTCCAAAAGCACTTACTCATTCTCCCCAAACATTTACACAGTTCTTATAGCTCACAAAAAATTACAAAGATTACTACAATTACAGATTTTTCTGTTTGCTGGGAAAACCTGAAGGCTGAGCACCAACTTTTATTAACTTTTAAATTATTACTAGCTAACTCTAAGTCCTTCGCTGGTAGCAACGTATTTAATACTCATAACAATTCTGAGAGAAAGTTTTACTATTATTCCCATCTCACATCTGTAGCAACGGAGGAACAAATGGGTTTAGTAAGCTATCCAAGGTTACACAGTTAATAACCACATGGTTTAAACACAGACACTCTGACTCCCCTGTCTGCCCAGCCACTGTAACATGCAGAGGTCACAGACTGGGGAGGGTCTCCCACGATGCCCTGAGTATGGCTGGGCCACTGTCTCTAGGTTAGGAAGCTTGACAAAGCCAACCTGGTCAGCTGGTTTGGACATTTTAAGAAATGTCCCCCAATTCTCTTCCCTTTACCTTTATCTTTACCAGAAACACAATGGGTCCACCTTTTCTGAATCTTGGCTCTACCCCTTATCCAAGGACAAGTTACTTAAACTCTCTGAGAGTTAGTTTGCTCATTTGTTTGTTCCCAGCGTGAATCCAGGGCATTACTCAATTACCATAGCAAACTTCTCAACTAGAAGTAGGATCCACCAAGTCAGTTCTTTACAACGTTGCCCAGTAGCTTACCTCTGTATTTGACTGACCAGCTGAAAATATGCCACATATTTATTCATAAAAGATTTGATCATTTTTTAATCATTTAAACTCTAAACCTAAAGTTTGGGTTCACATGACCATCTTGGGTTCTTCTTCAGAAAATTGGTTCTGAGTAACAGGATCAGTTAGGTCAGGCTTAATTCGTGACAGAATGATGATCACTGCAGAATATTCTTGAAGAGGCCAACAATTATTGTTATCAGTGTCATTTATTGTTCATATTTATAAAACCATGGGTTTCTGAAATATAATTAAAAATACTATTGCTCCTAGGACATGAGAGATTTCTTTCTTTCTATTTATTTATTTATTTATTTATTTATTTATTGGAACGTGAGTAGATGTCAGACATACATTAATTAATTTTTGTATTTTATTTCCAGTTTGAATCCTTTTGCAAAAACTTTTAAGAAAATTGTCTACAGAGAGTATGAAGCATATTTTCATAAAGAAAAACCACAATCTAAAACTGCAGGTAAGCATGAAACACATATTCTCTAATTTGATATTATCTATATCTAAAATATCCATTTAGTGGTATTTTACAGAAATGTGAGTTTTTGTTGTTTTAACCAGCATAGGCTACATAACTTGTGGAGCCCAGGGCAAAATGAAAATGAAATTCACATTATTGAAAATTTCAAAGCAGTGACAGCGAAGAATGGAGGCAAGCTGCGCCCTGTGTGGTTTCACAGGCCACAAGTCACACGCCCACGGAGCCCGCTGTTTTTAACCTTGACCAAGAAGCTGAAAAGGCCTTTTAAGTGTTTGAATTTTTATTCATTCATCTGACAAGCTGTGACTGAGCACGTGCTCTGGGCGGGGCCTTGCACGGGGTGCTGTGGGTGCTGTGGGTGCCACAGGGAACAAGACAGGCGGCCCAGGCTGAGGGTGAGACGAGCCTGAGCTAACGGTCCTTCCTCCCTCTGGCTCCCTGCACTCATTCAAAGGAACTGCAAGTGGCTGTTCTGGATTCTTCTGCGTCTGCCTTTCCCGGCTCCTGTTTTATTAAGTGTGCTGTGCATAACAGCTATCACTTTTAAAGAAAAGTCTCTTCTTCCTTCCTTAGTTCTTCTTTAACCAAGGAAAGCGGGTCGCATGGGTTGGGGTCTGAAATATGGCACCATATTTTCACAGGAACGACAGAGGTCAGCAAGCAAGAACTTCCTCCAGTTGGGTCCCTGGTCACTGATTCACTGGGCCTTCCCTGACCAGTGTGGCCTGCACTGTGTCCCAGGCTCACTCTTCTGCCTCTCTATCATCCCACTCGCCCCCACCTCCTCTGATCCCCCTTTATCTCCCCTCTTTCCTGGATGGGAGCCTTCCCCATTAGCAATAAAACAAAACACAGCTATGTTCAGGTTAACTTTCATCTAGAACAAAACTCCCCTCCACCCTGCTTCACTCTCCTTTCTCTCCCCTCTCCTTCACGACCAGCCGCCCTCTGAAGGGCCCACTTCATTCCCTATGGCGTCACTTCCTCTCCCTGCTCTCCCTCTCTAACCTGCTCTGAGGGAACCCACTAGAATGACTCTCAGAAGAGGCCCCTATGGCTGCGGGGATGCCAGAGCCAACGGTTTCTTTCCAGGTCTTTCCCGACTTGGCATTCCTAGGACATTCAATGCTCCCCTCTGGAAACTCTCTTTACCTCCTCTCTGGAACTCAGAGATAACGCCTTCCTGAAACTTGGCCCCACACGGGAGGAGCGACAGGGTGGTTCTGAAAGGGAATAAGAGGTTGGAGGAGTTTTATAAAAAAGAACACAGTGACTTAAAATATCTAAGGGCTCAGGGAAGAATCCAATAGAAAAGGCGCAGATAAAGTCTCTGACGGATGGAGTCAGGCTCAGAAGAAACAGGGTGTGATCAGCTGCGGTAGGAGACACACTGCCTTCCCCAGAGCCCAAGGTTACTTGTCAAGTTAAGTTTGTAGCCCTGGGCAGGAGGGCAAGGCTCTCCCAGCCTCTGCCGCGGAGTTGACTCACGTTCATAACTCAATTCCAACCTTAGCACACACCTAAGAACTTTTTAATTAAATTAAACTATAGGCGGATAAAGGGAAAGCGAGCCAGGAAACGTTAATGAGGCCTGGGGAAAAATAAATCGGGCGGGTGTTTAGAGCTGTCTTTTGTGGCTTTTGCCAAGTTAACTGAACTTGAGTGCCGCGCTGTGTGAGCCATTGGGCCGAGTGCCGTGAGTGACAGAACAGACCGGAGCCAGGCTGGAGACCATCCTTTAAGCCATAAGGAGGCATTGATCGTTTTCAGGGAGGTGGGCACTGTGATCAAAATCCTTGGAGATGATGAACTTTGGTAGTGATTTCCTGATCCAGCCTCATCAATTAGAGGTAGACCTTGGCAGATGATTCATGGTTAAGCCCTGTGCACTGAAAACAGTATTTTTCTGTCAGTCTCTGTATATCTCAAACAGATTTGTTGTGTATGACCCCTGAGGCATTTTAACATCCATTTTTATGCAGCCTCTTCCTAAACTCCCAAAGCTGCTGAACTATGAACCCCTGGAGGGCAGGGATGACATCTTATTCATCTTTGGATCCTGGTAGTAGTTGATACAGGAGGCGAATCTGGTGTCCAGGGAAAGCCTCAGATACTGAATGAGAAGATCTGGGTCTGAACACTGCCCTTGACTCGTGACCTTCCCCTCCCAGCCTAGTTCTGCCATTCATACCTCCCCCTGTTTCCACTCGTCAGGTGGGTGTGATTCTAGCTGAGTCTGAAGGGGAACTGCCATGCACCCCACTCCATAGCAGGAGCCCAGACTCCGATGCAGGACTAGAGGTCGGAAGACCAATGCCTGCCCAGCGACAGGGGGAGGGAGGGACTGGGGCCATTTTCAGGAATTCTGTCTTGTGCTTTTGAACAGCTAGTTTTGAGTCTTTGCACCTTTTCAAAAAAAATTATGACATGTTTGTCCCTGAAGGTTCTAAAAGAGCTGCAACGATGAGTGACCTGTTTTCTGTAATGCATTACTCACCTGAGAGCAGGGGCTAGGTCAGCTGACCTCCCTGTGGCCGTTCCCAAGGCCCCGGCTGCAGGAAGTTGGGCACCGGCTGTGCTACCTTCCTGGGCCCCCAGCTTGACTTGGGCCCTGGGGAGGGGGGTGGGAAAGGTTTCAGGGCATCTGGCCGACAGGGGAGCTGAGCAGCAGCTCAGGAACATTTGGCCACGTGTTTGCTTTCACGCATGAAGGCGTTTGAATTGCCTTGATGAAAACATTCCTTTGTTTTGCCCTAATTCTGAAGAAGCAGAAGGGAGGCTAAATAAATTCACTGCCGTTGGAGGTCTCATTAGGTTAAACAACTAATAAGGCTTATTCTGGGCATCTGGTATATGCAGCCACGAGATGCCAACAAGCAAATCAACCAAGCAAGGCCACCATGGCAACGAAATGCAGGGACAGTGTGAGCAGAGTCCGCACGCATGGGCCTCGTGGGCATCCCAGCAGGTGGGAGCAGCCAGCGGGATCTTCGCAGGGAGCTAGGACTGAGCGTAGCAGCCAGAAGAGAGGGGTCAGCCGGGGTCAGAGCGGTCAGGAGTCAAGACTGGTGTAGCCTGTTCCAGAAAAGGGGGTCTAGAGTCTAGACCAGGTGTGGGCAAACTTTTTGACTTGAGGGCCACAATGGGTTCTTAAACTGGACCGGAGGGCCAGAACAAAAGCATGGATGGAGTGTTTGTGTGAACTAATATAAATTCAAAGTAAACATCATTACATAAAAGGGTACGGTCTTTTTTTTTTAGTTTTATTTATTTCAAACGGGCCGGATCCGGCCCGCGGGCCATAGTTTGCCCACGGCTGGTCTAGACTGTGATTCCTCAAAACTCAGAGCAGATGTCCTGTCCCCTCACCCCCCACGCAGGGCTGGTCCTCCAGCCTCTGCCCGCAGCATTCTGCCCGTAGCTCAGCAGCAGCTGCTACCTGTGTCCATCTCCAACGGGCTGTGGATCCTTGAGTACAGGACCTGGCACAGCCCCTGGCGTGTAGGAAGGGAAACCTCTCTTAGCTCCTGCACCCGACCCGCTGTCCTGCTGTGTTCCCATCGACGTAGCTGATTATTAACTCAGTTGTTCCAATGAGAAGCCTCGGGCCATCCTGGCTTCTCTCTCTCTCATGCCACATCCAACACGTCAGCAGATGCTGCTGGCTCTGCCTCCAGAATTCAGAGCCCAACCTCTGCTCACCACTTCTCTGGCCTGATGTGCTGTTGCTTCATCTCTATCACCAAGTCCTGCTTCCACTCTCGTCACCACACAGCAGCGGGGGTGAACTTTTTGTCTGTTTTTTTCCTTTTTCTTTTTCAGGATGAACTTTTAAAATGCGTCAGACCCCACCTCCCTGCTGCACAAAGCTGCCTCGACTTCCCATTTCATTTAGAAGAAAACCCAAGGTCCTTGCTGTGACCGTAGGGCCTTAAGGGCCCTGCCCCCACCGTCTCTTCTCACTCTGCCCAGGCTGGGGTGTTTGTCTTGTTTTCTTTGTTTGTTTGTTTGTTTACTGTTCTTTGAAAACATCAAGCTCTCTCCTGCCTCCAAGACTTTGAACTTGTCCAAGAACTGTGTGATTTGCTCCCTCACTTCACTTTGTCCCTCTAAAGTAGCCTGTCACCCTCCCTCATGTCACCCTGGAGAGTTGAAAGTGAACATCTGCCCTAGCCTGTTTGGCTCCGTAAATAGAGGGTCGGCCCATGAACTGAAAGGTCTTGGGTTCGATTCCAGTCAAGGGCACGTACCTCAGTTGCAGCCCAAGTCAGGAGGCAACCAATCGATGTGTTTCTCTCACATCCATGTTTCTCTCAGTCTGTCCCCCTCCCTTCCACTTTCTCTAAAAATAAGTAAATAAATAAAGAATAAACATCTTTCTTTTCTTGACCAAAGACGGTGGGTCGTCTCTAAGGAATGACAGTGGGTCAGAATTGGGGGACACAGTGCGAATGACCGCTCTTACTCCTCAGCTTGCTTTGAGCCAAGCCAAGCGTTTCTCCCTTCCTGCCCTTAGCCGGCTGCACGCAATGCTGAGCTCATGAGGCGGTAAAGCCTTACAGATGGAAGATAAGCAGGTCAACCTCAGAACCTGAGGGCTGACTGCAGTCACTCATGGGATTCTCTGCATGGTGTGTGTGTGTGTGTGTGTGTGCGCATGCGTGTGTGTGTGTGCATGTGTCAGCTCTGTCTTTTGTAATCCTGACATAGTTATCTTTGCTTCCCTAGGACTTCTTGGGCCTACTTTATATGCTGAAGTTGGAGACATCATGAGAGTTCACTTTAAAAATAACGCAGACAAGCCCTTAAGCATCCACCCTCAAGGGATTAAGTACAGTAAATCCTCAGAAGGTAAGAGGCGTTTCCTGTCCCTCTGACAGGAGAAAACATGCAACCCTTTAACACCGTGTCGAGCACTGAAAACCATTCTATTACCCACACGTCACAGAACTCCCCTCGCTGTGACGAGGAAAATGATGGCTGTGTAAGCGTCCGGGGAATGAAGGCGTCCTGGAGTCATCTGGGCTCAGTGCTTTGTAGGTTCTTGTGCTTCACTCGTTGGGCGGGCCAATTGCCTACTCTCTCTGAATTCCAGTATGTTCACCTGCACAGTGAGAGCGACCACATGCACATTGCAGGACGGTGTAAGGCGGGTCTGCAGACTTCTCTGTAGAGAGCAGAAAGCAAATATGTTTGACTTTGTGGGCCAGGCAGCTCTGCTGCAATCACTCAACTCTCCCTTTCAGCACAAAAGCAGCCAAAGGCACTATCTGTATGTAAGTGAATGAACATGGCCGCACCTCAATAAAACTTTATTTACAAGAAAAGGGAGCTGGCTGGATTTGGCCCACGAGCCATCATTTGAAATAGTGACATAGGACTAGCCTGGCACACAGATGACACTTACGTAGCGTTAAACTTTTGGACATAGTGAAGTAGTTGAGAACATAAGCTTTGAAGGGAGACTTAGGTTCAAATTCCACTGTATGTTTCTGGCTAAATGAGCTTAGCATCCCTGAACCTCAGTTTTCTCATCTGTGAAGTGGAACTGGTTATACCCTCTCCTAAGATTGCTTTGAGGATTAGATGGGATTTTTTAGGTATTGTAAAAAATAAACATGGTTCCGGGAACCTGGTAAACGCTCAGTAAAGGATGTCAACGATGATGATGATGATGACAGTGACAGTGAAGATCATGAGGATGATGGAGATAAAAGTGAATATCACCTGTTGATATTGTTATGATTATTTCCATTATGCTTATGTTCGGACCACAATAAGCAGAATAGAGTTCTGCTAGGAACTGATATAAGAAATTGTGTCCATATTGTAATAGATGTTAGTATCATAACACAAATATAACTTTAGACCTTTCTCGATTCACGAATCTTCTTTCTCCCATATGCTCCAACCACCATACATTTAAAGAGAGTAATTAAGCAGGAGAGTGGTTCACAGGGCAGGGTCTGGAGCTAGACTGCCTCAGGCACTAACTGAGTGATTTTGGGAAAGTTACATAACTTCTTTGTGCCTCATCTTTCTCATCTATAAAATGGGAATAATAATCAAGACTTCTTTTTTGGTTGTTGTTAATCCTCACTCAGGGATATTTTCCTATTGCTTCTTCAGAGAGAGTGAAAGGGAGGAAGGAGAAAGAGAGAAAGGGACACCCATCCATTGGTTGCCTCTTACACATGCCCCGACTGGGAGTGGGAGGGAACCCGCAACCCAGGTACATGCCCTTGACCAGGAATCAAACCCACGACCCTTTGGTGTGCAGGCTGACACTCTAACCACTGAGCACACTGGCCAGGGCATGACTTCATATAGGTTTGTTGTCATGAAATCTTAGCACAACACCTAGCATATAATAAACACTTGATAAATATTAGCTATGATGGTAAAGGTGATTATTCAATCAAAATTTGTTCAAATTATGTAAATATCTCAATTAAAATTTTTAAATGTGTCCAAATAATTTAACATTTAGATGACAATTTATGGATTAGAAAGTGACTTTTACATTTATTATTATAGTGTAAATTATTGTCAAACTCATTTCTACTAAGGGATGCGTGACTGCTAACAGGTCAATGAACTACCCTCCCTGGGGACATGTGCGTGAGCACATACTCTTTGGTTTGAGGAAAAACAATGAAGCATGAACTGTGAAATTTCAGGCACCTTAAAGAGCCAATTTGGCAGGACCCTGGGTGAGGTAGCATGAGGAGGAGTCTCTCCTATGTCCCCCAAATCACATGGTGTCATAGAACAGCCCCTTAACCTACATGTGAGGCTCCCAGACGACAGTGTCAGGAACTCATGCCCTGGTGCCAGCAGGGAGAGCCCTCAGGATGTCCCATGGAGGTCCCGTTTTAGACGTGGGAGGAGGTAAGCACTGTGGACTTTGTATTCCAAGCTGGGCTGTTTGCACGGGAAACAAAGCTTGCAACACCGTCCCTCTTCCTTTCTGTTTATTTGTCCCTACCACCCGCCGCGGCCAGCAGTCATTCGTGAGCAGAGGTTTAACATGCACCCACCACTTCCGCTGGTCACCTGATCATCGCCCCTGGTGCCAAGTCTCTCAGAAAGTAAAGACAGTTTGGTGGGAAAGTCACATCTTGCCTTAGGAATGAGATGCAAATCCAGCCAATAGAGGAAGAGTGTCCTTCCTGGCAAAAGGCAAGTCGCATTTTGTTGTGTCCTCTTCCCTAAAATAAAACATCTTTCTCACGTCTGACCCTCACCCCCCTGAGCCTCCCGCTCTGGTTTGAACGATTGTTTCAGGGGTGGAGAGGAACTACGCGCTGAGCCAGCTCCATGAGAATCCGGGTTTCTTTATCTCAGAGGCAGATGTTTGAGAGATGGATGCTGGGAGGTTGAGACGAGTAAAAGGCTTAAGAGAGGACTCAGTCTTTGTCCTGGTGGCTGCTTGATCTAACCAGAACCAAAGCAACCTCGAGAACAATCCTCCTTATCTGGGAGCTAATCCTGGAGCCCCACCCGGGATTTGGAAACCTGCTCTCATCAGCTGGAAGGGAAGGACAGCCACGGGAAGAATGCCGGCTTTAGCGCCAGGATGGCCTCGCTTGGAACCCTAAGTAAACGTTGGCAATGTCCTTTACCACAAACCCTCAGTTTCATATCTATAAAATATAACTCCTTCCCTCTGAGGTTGTCGCAAGGATTAGTCAGAATCAAAGTAAAGGCCCAGGCACGGTGGGCACACAATAAAGCTAGCTGCTGTTGAGGGGCTCGTCCATGGCTATTCATATGCGGGCATTGCATTTCGTTCCCAGAAGCTTAGATTGAACAAAGGCCTTGGCCTCAGATAGCATCATCTACCCAAATGAAATAAAAGGCTCCCATCGAATTCAGATGCCAAAATGAACTAAACTTCCCCAGAAAACCTTAGCTATCCCGAGCACATTTTGAATAATTGCAGTTTCCAGGTAGTTTGAGGTTTACTTCAAGTGTCTAAACAGTGGTCGGCAAACTGCGGTTTGCGAGCCACATGCGGCTCTTTGGCCCCTTGAGTGTGGCTCTTCCACAAAATACCGACTTCTGCCCATGGGCCACGAAGTTTCAATTGCAATGTATGTGTGCGCCCGCACGTGGTATTTTGTGGAAGAGCCACACTCAAGGGGCCAAAGAGCCGCATGTGGCTCATGAGCCGCAGTTTGCCGAGCTGCAGTTTGCCGACCACTGGTCTAAGATGTTTTCTTTCCATTGCTTTGGGTATGAATCTTTGTAAATGGTATACTTCCCCAGGCCTTTCTAAAACAGCGGCTGACGGTCTGTTCGAGGCGTTTATGTCTTTGGATCAATTTTTGTTCATCAGTTTATGTTGGTCATTAGATTCCACATATGAGTGAGATCATGTGATACTTATCTTCTCTGACTGGCTTATTTCGCTTAGCATAATGCTCTCCTGGGGGGCAGGGGCAGGGGCAGGCTGGGAGAGGACAATGGGGGAAAAGGGGGACATAGATGAAACTTTCAACAATAAAGAATAAAAAATAAATAAAATAATAAAACAGAGGATGAGAAGCAAAATTCGAGTCCCTCTCTAAGCCATTCCTTCCAGTCCGCTGTGAGAGCTTACAGACATTCACAGGTGTTAGAACTGTGCGCAGGCTGAGTCAACAGACTCTAAACAACAGCTGTGTTATCTGCCTGTGGTATGACATGCAGGTGAAGACCCTGAGCTTTCATGCAGGCAGCGGTTCTCAACCTGTGGGCCGCGACCCCTTTGGCAGTCTAACGACCCTTTCACAGGGGTAGCCTAAGACCATCCTGCATATCAGATATTTACATTACGATTCATAACAGTAGCAACATTACAGTTATGAAGGAGCAACGAAAATAATTTTATGGTTGGGTCACAACATGAGGAACTGTATTTAAAGGGCCAGAAGGTTGAGAACCACTGCATGCAGGGGTTTTGTACATCATTTTGTAACCAGAGTTTCCCGGGAGCCTTGTTTCTGGGCCTTCTTGCCGTGGCTGTCATTTGAATTCTTGGCCGGAAGTCTGGGTGCTGGACAGGAAAGGTGTGCTCGTCTCACCCTGGCCTGTCATCCATGAATTGGTAGCATCTGACATAAAGACTAAGTTGTAGCTTGGTGTTACCCAACTGGTCCCAGTGGCCCCCTCTCTCCAGATGTGCATGAGAGCACCCCAGTAGGGGGCGTGCAGGGGCAGCTGGTTGATGATTCTCATCATGAATGTTTCTCTCCCTCTCCCTTCCTCTCTGAAATCAATAAAACTATATTTAAATAAATAAATAAAATAAAAAAGCACCTTCTGAATCTTCAAAGACACACTGAAGCATTCACCTGGGTTACTAAATGGAGAGGAAAAGAGCTGTTCAAAAAAATAACAAGGCGGATGTCATGACAGAGCATCCAAATGGACGACCAAAGGGGCTCTTTACGTAACTTCACTTTCCCAAACGGGTACACCCCATTTTATACTTGGGAAAAAATGCTGAGAGCCCTTTGGCAAATAGCTAGTTCATCATGACAAGAGTAAACAAATTGCCACGCTGACTAAGGACTGAGCAGGAAGTGAGTAGAACTGAGTAAATATAAAGTGAAGGGCCACCCTTGTGTAAAGAATTTAGTCCAGCGAGAAGCTGAACAAGGACTTTTTGTGCTTTGGCACAATGGTCTTTCCTGTCCATTCCTCTTCTTTTCAGTTAAGACTTTTCACTTATTTTGATTGCAAAGTTAAAATTAGTTTTCCCAAAAATACATTTCATAAATGCTTCCCTCAAAATAGCTGTTTATATTTTACACCTCATGTAGTTTGCAAACTCAAAGATAAAATATGCCTGCTTTGTTCTAGAT